GGATTTCCTGGGCCATTCCCAGTTTTTGGGGATGGATTTCCCAGCTCCCATTCCCGCTGTTTTTGGGGATGGATTTCCCGGCTCCCATTCCCGGTGTTGTTTCTATCCCGGCAGATCCTGGGATGGATTTCCTGGGCCATTCCCAGTTTTTGGGGATGGATTTCCCAGCTCCCATTCCCAGTTTTTGGGGATGGATTTTCCCGGCTCCCATTCCCGCTGTTTTTGGTGACAGATTTTTTCCCGTCTCCCATTCCCGGTGTTGTTCCCATCCCGGCAGATCCTGGGATGGATTTCCCGGCCCATTCCCGGTGTTTTTGGGGATGGATTTCCCGGCTCCCATTCCCGGTGTTGTTTCCATCCCGGCAGATCCTGGGATGGATTTCTCAGGCCATTCCCAGTTTTTGGGGATGGATATTCCCGGCTCCCATTCCCGCTGTTCCAGGGATGGATTTCCCGGCCCATTCCCAGTTTTTGGGGATGGATTTCCTGGCCCATTCCTGCTGGTTTTTGGGATGGATTTCCTGGGCCATTCCCAGTTTTTGGGGATGGATTTCCCAGCCCATTCCCAGTTTTTGGGGATGGATTTTCCCGGCTCCCATTCCCGCTGTTTTTGGTGACGGATTTTTCCCGTCTCCCATTCCCGGTGTTGTTTCCCATCCCGGCAGATCCTGGGATGGATTTCCCGGGCCATTCCCAGTTTTTGGGGATGGATTTCCTGGCCCATTCCCGGTGTTTTTTGGGATGGATTTTTCCCGGCTCCCATTCCCGGTTTTTTTTGGGATGGATTTCCCGGCTCACATTCCCGCTGTTTTTGGTGACGGATTTTTCCCGGCTCCCATTCCCGGTGTTGTTTCCCATCCTGGCAGATCCTGGGATGAATTTCCCAGCCCATTCCCAGTTTTTGGGGATGGATTTCCTGGCCCATTCCCAGTTTTTGGGGATGGATTTCCTGTACACATTCCCAGTTTTTGGGGATGGATTTTCCCGGCTCCCATTCCCGGTATTGTTCCCATCCCGGCAGATCCTGGGATGGATTTCCCAGCCCATTCCCAGTTTTTGGGATTGGATATTCCCGGCTCCCATTCCCAGTTTTTGGGGATGGATATTCCCGGCTCCCATTCCTGGCAGATCCTGGGATGGATTTCCCGGTTCATTCCCAGTTTTTGGGATGGATTTTCCGGCTCCCATTCCCGCTGTTTTTGGTGATGGATTTTCCCGGCTCCCATTCCCGGTGTTGTTTCCCATTCCAGCAGATCCTGGGATGGATTTCCCAGCCCATTCCCAGTTTTTTGGGATGGATTTTCCCGGCTCCCATTCCCGGTGTTGTTCCCATCCCGGCAGATCCTGGGATGGATTTCCCGGCCCATTCCCAGTTTTTGGGATGAATTTCCCGGCCCATTCCCGGTGTTTTTGGTGACGGATTTTTCCCGTCTCCCATTCCGGGTGTTGTTCCCATCCCGGCAGATCCTGGGATGGATTTCCCGTCTCCCATTCCCGGTGTTTTTGGTGACGGATTTTTCCCGTCTCCCATTCCCGGTGTTGTTCCCATCCCGGCAGATCCTGGGATGGATTTCCCAGCCCATTCCCAGTTTTTGGGGATGGATTTCCTGGCCCATTCCCAGTTTTTGGGGATGGATTTCCTGTACACATTCCCAGTTTTTGGGGATGGATTTTCCCGGCTCCCATTCCCGGTATTGTTCCCATCCCGGCAGATCCTGGGATGGATTTCCCAGCCCATTCCCAGTTTTTGGGATTGGATATTCCCGGCTCCCATTCCCAGTTTTTGGGGATGGATATTCCCGGCTCCCATTCCTGGCAGATCCTGGGATGGATTTCCCGGTTCATTCCCAGTTTTTGGGATGGATTTTCCGGCTCCCATTCCCGCTGTTTTTGGTGATGGATTTTCCCGGCTCCCATTCCCGGTGTTGTTTCCCATTCCAGCAGATCCTGGGATGGATTTCCCAGCCCATTCCCAGTTTTTTGGGATGGATTTTCCCGGCTCCCATTCCCGGTGTTGTTCCCATCCCGGCAGATCCTGGGATGGATTTCCCAGCCCATTCCCAGTTTTTGGGATGGATTTCCCAGGCCATTCCCGGTATTCTTGGTGACGGATTTTTCCCGTCTCCCATTCCCGCTGTTGTTCCCATCCCGGCAGATCCTGGATCTGGCGCGGGGGCGGCAGAAGCGGGTGAAGGTGCTGGGCGGGGGTCACTCCCCCTCGGACATCGCCTGCTCCCAGGATTTCCTCATCCACATGGGAAAACTCAACCGCGTCCTGCAGGTGGGAACCGCCGCCTTCCCGGGAAAAAACACCCGGAAAATCCCGGGAATCCGCCCGGGAACGGCTCCTCCACACGGAGAAATCCCCGAGCCGGCTTTTCCCGGGAATTTTCCCACCCCGGGAGCGGAGGAGGGAGGGAATTTGGGAATATTCTGGGGTTTGGGGAAGGGTTTTGTGGGAATTTTTTTGGAATTTTTTTGGGAATATTCTGAGGTTTTGGCAAGGGTTTGAGGTGTTTTTTTGGGATTTTTTGGGGAATTTTTGGGGAATTTTTTGGGAATGTCCTGGGATTTTGGGAAGGGTTTTTTGGGGATTTTTTTGGGAATTTTTTGGAGAATTTATTTGGAATATTCTGGGATTTTGGGAAGGGTTTAAGGGGTTTTTTGGGAATTTTTTGGGAATTTTTGGGGATTTTTTTTTTGGAATTTATTTGGAATATCCCCCAAAAAAATTTTGGGGAATTTTTTGGGAACATTCCAGGATTTTGGGAAGGGTTTGAGGGGTTTTTTTGGGAATTTTTTGGGAATTTTTTGGGATTTTTTTTAAAATTTATTTGGAATATTCTGGGATTTTTGGGAAGGGTTTTTTGGGAATTTGGGGGGGATTTTGGGAAGGGTTTGAGGGGGTTTTTTGGGAATTTTTTGGGAATTTTGGGGGGATTTTGGGAAGGGTTTGAGGGGTTTTTTGGAAATTTTTTGGGGGGAATTTTTGGGAATGTTCAGGGGTTTTTTGGGGAATTTTTTGGGAACGTTCAGGGATTTTTTGGGGGAATTTTTTGGGAACGTTCAGGGATTTTTTTGGGGAATTTTTTGGGAGCATTCAGGGATTTTTTTGGGAAATTTTTTGGGAACGTTCGGGGATTTTTTTGGGGAATTTTTTGGGAACGTTCGGGGATTTTTTGGGGAATTTTTTGGGAACATTCGGGGATTTTTTTGGGAATTTTTTGGGAACGTTCACGGATTTTGGGGAGAGTTTTTTGGGATTTTTTTGGGAACATTCAGGGGTTTTTTGGGGATTTTTTTTGGGAACGTTCGGGGGTTTTTTGGGAATCGTCTGTTGCAGGTGGACAAGGAGAAGCTGCAGGTGAAGGTGGAAGCCGGAATTCTGCTCTCGGAGCTGAACCTGGAGCTGGACAAACACGGGATGGCCCTGGCCAAGTGAGAGACAACAGCGGGAATAACAGCCGGAATAACAGCCGGAATAACCCCGGGAACAGCCGGAATAACAGCGGGAATAACCCCGGGAATAACAGCCGGAATAACCCCGGGAACAGCGGGAATAACAGCGGGAATAACCCCAGGAACAGCAGGAATAACAGCGGGAACAGCGGGAATAACAGCAGGAACAGCCGGAATAACAACGGGAACAGCGGGAATAACAGCGGGAATAACAATGGGAACAGCCGGAATAACAGCGGGAACAGCGGGAATAACGGGAATAACAACAGCAGGAACAGCGGCAACAGCGGGAATGGGAATAACAATGGGAATAACAATGGGAATAACAATGGGACTAACAATGGGACTAACAACGGGAATAACAACAACAGGAATAACAACAGCGGGAATAAAGGCAGCAGGAATGGGAGCGGGAATAACTGGGAATAACGGGAATAACAACGGGAATAACAACGGGAATGGGAACGGGAATAACAGCGATGGGAATAATGGGAATAACAATGGGAATAACAGGAATAACAGTGGGAATAACAATGGGAATAACAATGGGAATAACAATGGGAATAACAATGGGAATGAGAATAACAGCAGAAATGACAACAATGGGAATAACAACGGGAATAACAATGGGAATGGGAGCGGGAATAACGGGAATAACCGGGAATAACGGCAGCGGGAATGGGAATAACAAGGGGAATAACAGCGGGAATAACAATGGGAATGGGAGCGGGAATAACAGCGGGAATGAAAATAACAGCAATGGGAATAACAACGGGAATAACTGGGAATAAAAGTGGGAATAACCGCAGGAGTAACAATGGGAGTAACAATAGGAATAATGGGAATGGGAGCGGGAATAACAATGGGAATAACCAGGAATGACAGCAGGAATAACAGCGGGAACAACCAGGAATAGCAGTGGGAACAATGGGAATGGGAGTGGGAATAACAACGGGAATAACAATGGGAATGGGAGCGGGAATAACAACGGGAATAATGGGAATAACAGCAGGAATAACAACAGGAATAACAACGGGAATAATGGGAATAACAATGGGAATGGGAGCGGGAATAACAACGGGAATATCAATGGGAATAACCGGGAATGACAGCGGGAAAAATGGGAATAACAGTGGGAATAATGGCAGGAACAACAACGGGAATAACAACGGGAATAATGGGAATAAGGGAAATAATGGGAACAACGGGAATGGGAGTGGGAATAATGGGAATAAATGGTGGGAATGGTGGGAATGGGAATGGGGATGGGAATGGGAATGGGGATGGGAATGGGATAGGGAATAATGGGAATGGGAATGGGGATAACAGCAGGAATAACAAGGGGAATAACCGGGAATAACAGCAGGAACAATGGGAATGGGAGCGGGAATGGGATTGGGAATAATGGGAATAATAGGAACAAATTATGGGAATGGCGGGAATGGGAATGGGATTGGAATGAGGATGGGAATAATGGGAATAATGGGAATAATGGGAATGATGGGACTGGGATTGGGATTGGGATTGGGATTGGGAATAGATCTGGGTGGGATGGAGAGCTGGGAATGGAATCCAGGCGGGATCGGGATCTGGGAATGGAGCCAGGGATGGATCCGGGTGGGATCAGGAATGGGAATGGATGGGATGGGATCGGGAATGGATCCGGGTGGGATCAGGAATGGGAACGGATCGGATGAGATCGGGAATGGATCAGGGTGGGATCAGGAATGGGAATGGATCGGATGGGACTGGGGACGGATCCGGGTGGGATCAGGAACAGGAATCCCCCCCCACAAAGTTCCAGTTTTTCCCAACCCCGACAATCCCAAAATTCCATGGGATCCACCCCAGGATTCCAATTTTTCCAAGGTCCTTTCCCAACCCAACCAATCCCAGAATTCCATGGAATTCCCTCAGAATTCCAACTTTCCCCAGGCTTTTTCCCAACCCAGACAATCCCAGAATTCCCTGGAATTCCCCCAGAATCCCAACTTTTCCCAGGGTTTTTCCCAACCCAGACAATCCCAGAATTCCCTGGAATCCCCCCCCCAGGCTCCCGTCCCCACCCCCATCCCAAGGAATTCCTCGGGACGGATTTTCCCATGGATGTTTCCCCGTTGGAAGAAAAGGCGGAATTTCGGGATCCCGGGGAATTCCCATTCCCAGTTTTTTTGTCGTTGTTGTTCCCAGTTTAGGAGCCGTGGCCGAGGTGACGGCGGCCGGAGTCATCGGAACCGGGACCCACAACACCGGGATCGGCCACGGAATCCTGCCCACGCAGGTGCCGGAATTCCCGGAATTCCTGCGGGAATCCTTCCAGGGATTCTTCCTGGAATTCGTCCCAGAATTCCTCCTGGAATTCCTGGAATTCTTCCCAGATTTCCTCCAGGATTTCTTCCAGGAATTCTTCCCGGAATTCTTCCTGGAATCCTTCCTGGAATATTTCCTGGAATTCTTCCCGGAATTCTTCATGGAATTCTTCCCGGAATTTTTCCCGGAATTCTTCCCAGATTTCTTCCTGGAATTTTTCATGGAATTCCTCCTGAAATTCCTCCCGGAATTCTTCCCCGAATTCTTCCTGGAATTCTTCCCAGAATTTTTCCTGGAATTCTTCCCGGATTTCTTCCCGGAATTCCTGGAATTCTTCCTGGAATTATTCCTGGAATTCCTCCAAGAATTCCTCCCAAAATTCTTCCCACAATTCTTCCCGGAATTCTGCCCGGAATTCTTCCTGGAATCATTCCTGGAATTATTCCTGGAATTTTCCTGGAATTTTCCTGGAATTCTTCCCAGAATTGCTCCCGGAATTCTTCCCGGAATCCTTCCCAGAGTTCTTCCTGGAATTCTGCCTGGAATTATTCCTGGAATTCATTCTGGAATTTTTCCTGGAATTCTTCCCAGAATTCTTCCTGGAATTCTTGGAATTCTTCCCAGAATTCTTCCTGGGATTTTTCCTGGAATTCTTCCCAGAATTCTTCTTGGAATTGTTCCTGGAACAGTTCCCAGAATTCTTCCCGGAATTCCTCCTGGAATTTTTCCCGGAATTTTTCCTGGAATTCTGCCCAGAATTATTCCTGGAATTTTCCCAGAATTCTTCCTGGAATTTTTCCTGGAATTCTGCCCAGAATTCTTCCCAGAATTATTCCCGGAATTCTTCCCCATATTCTTCCCGGAATTCCCAGAGACCGCCCAGAAACTTTGGGAATTTTGGATCAGGAGAGAGGAATCCGGGAATGTCCGGGAGAAATCCGGGATGGAGGAATTCCAGGATTGGGATTTCCGGGATTTTTTGGGGGGGGGAATTTTGCTGCTCCGGGTTTATCCCGGCTGGGAATTCCCATCCCGAGGAAAAATTCCAGGGAAAATCGCAATTCCTCCCTCTTATTCCCAAAAATCCGATGGAAAATTCCCTGGAATCCGAGCTGGGAATTCAGGGAATTCTTGGAATTCTTGGAATGTTCAGTGCGGGGCCGGGAGTTGGAGAATCCTGGTGGATCCGGCTCGGGATATTCCCAAAATTCCCAGAGATTCCCGGAGTCCTGGAATTATTCGGGAATTATTCGGGAATTATTTGGGAATTATTCGGGAATTATTGGGGAATTATTCTGGAATTATTTGGGAATTATTCGGGAATTATTCGGGAATTATTTGGGAATTATTGGGGAATTATTTGGGAATTATTGGGGAATTATTGGGGAATTATTTGGGAATTATTTGGGAATTATTTGGGAATTATTCGGGAATTATTTGGGAATTATTTGGGAATTATTGGGGAATTATTTGGGAATTATTCGGGAATTATTGGGGAATTATTGGGGAATTATTCGGGAATTATTGGGGAATTATTCGGGAATTATTTGGGAATTATTTGGGAATTATTGGGGAATTATTCGAGAATTATTCAGGAATTATTGGGGAATTATTGGGGAATTATTTGGGAATTATTGAAGCCATTCCGGGATCCAGGATGTTCAGGATCCATCCCGAGGGATTTTTATGGAATTCTGGGATAGGGAGACCCTTCCTGGAGTCCCCAATTCCCAGGGAATTCCCAAAATTCCTTCCCTTGGGATGGGGCTGGATCCAACCCCAGGCTGGGAATGGAGGGAATTCCATGGGAAAAGGGGGAGGAATTTTGGGATTTGGGCTGGAATTCCTTGGAAAAACCGGGAAGAATTTGAGAATTGGGAATTGGGAAGGAATTTCCTGGGAAAAGGGGGAATAATTTGGGATTTGGGAAAGAATTTGGGAATTGTGAAGGAATTCCTTGGAAAAATGGGGAAGAAAAGAGATTTGGGCTGGAATTCCCTAGGAAAAGGGGGAGGGATTTGGGATTTGGGAATTGGGCTGGAATTTCCTGGGAAAACCGGGAATAATCTGGGATTTGGGACAGAACTTCCTGGAATTGACTGAGGAATTTGGGATATGGGAATTCCGTGGGAAAATGGGGTGGGATTTGGGAATTTCCTTGGGAAAAGGGGAATAATTTGGGATTTGGGCTGGAATTCCTTGGAAAAACCGGGAATAATTTGGGATTTGGGAAGGAATTTGGGATTTGGGCTGGAATTTCCCGGGAAAAGTGGCAAGAATTCCCGGCAGATCCATCTGGAACCCGGAATTCCCCTTCCCCCCCCTGCAGGTGGTGGCTCTTTCCCTGCTCCTGGCTTCCGGAGAAATCCTGGAATGTTCGGAATCGCTGAACGCCGAGGTTTTCCAGGCGGCTCGGCTCCACCTGGGATGTTTGGGAATCGTCCTCTCCGTCACCTTCCAGTGCGTCCCGGAATTCCGGCTGCGCGAGGTCGCCTTTCCCTCCACCCTGCCCCAGGTGCGCCCCGGGAATTCCCACCGGAATTCCGGGAATTTCGGGAATTTTTTTT